TCCATCTGTAATGATATTTATAGGCTGGAGAAGCAGTGACAAYATCAGACTTACTGATGTCCAAGTGTTAACACTTCGGCATGATAAGATGACAAGTGGTCGACGGTCATCTCCAGTCCCCCAAGCTAAATGTGTTGGTGGTACAGCTGGATGTCGTGTTGTTCCAAAGGTCATWCAGTGTTATAATAGAGGGTCAGATGGATTTGATGTCCAGGTAATAACTTATATAATTGTATGAGTTGAACRCCCATCCATTATGGAAAACATCTAATGAAGAAGCCAAGATTTTAGACTAAGTATTACCCATCTGGAAAGAGAAATATACAATTTATACGCAAAATTCAAATGCCTAAGTACTTCCAAAAATTCGCTTGTCTAATGGATTCTTTGTGTGGACATTTGGTCAGAGTTCGTGCTACTCCTTGAAAAGTCCTAAAATTGAAAACTTGCTTTCAAGGCACTTGAAAAGCCCTTGAAAATGGGTGAAATTGCTAAAACTCCTGGAAAACTCCTTAAAATTGACCAAATGAAAATTTCATTTTTGTGCTTACAAAAGTACTTGAAAAATCCTGGAATTTTGTACTGAAAATTTAGCATGGACCCTATTTGGACTCCCTCCAAAACTTAGTATTACATGGAGTATGATATTAGTACTATTGGTCTTACTATTAGTACTATTGTTTTCTATTAAATTGTTATTTGTTGATGATTTGTATTTCTTTATCTCACAGTGGGAATGCAAGGCAGACATGGATAATAAATACCGGTTTGGTGAGGTTGCTGTGAATTGTGAGGGATTTGACTACCCAGATGACCCATATATTCTCAAGGGATCATGTGGGGTAAGCTATTTTAGTTCACACTCATTGAAAAGTTAATTGTATAGTAATGATGTGATAAATCATCATAATGACGATAATAGAGATGATGATGATATAATCATGTTGTCCGTATGATGTAATTGATGATAATGATGAATTATGACATTGATGAACATTCATCTTTTTTCAATTCATCTTTTTGTTCATAACAAAAAAAAAATTAAAATAGAACAATAAAAAGAGAAACATCAGACCTTTTAAGCTTGTGGGGGGTACATCCAAACCCCACGAACCCCCCCAGCCTACGGGCCTGAACCTAATAAGTGTTTTGAATTTGTGCAACTATATACAGTAGTTGAAATTTTATTCTTGTGATGGTCAAGAACAGGTCTAAGCCATGATTGTCTAATTTCTGAAGAACATATTTCATTAAAAACCATTGATTGTGTTGCATAGCAATTATTTCCAGACAGTGTCTTCTCAGATTAATTGTTAATACATGCAGCATTATCCACAGGGTTTTTATCCAGAGGTGGATTAAATTACTCACATTCTATGGAGTTCATATTTTTAATAAATCCTGAGAGTAACGTTAAGGGCCCCTCGTACAAAAATGCTACATTTCTTTTACACACCAGTCCTCTTTCATTATCATATAGGTGGAGTATACAATAGATTATGTTGGTGACAGCAATCATCATAGTGATTCCAGGTATGATGCCAATCATCATCAGAATTACCAAGGAAACTATGGCCACAAAAAACACAGGTAAACCAATATAATATTGGATGATTTACTCTAAAAGACTTGGACTTGGAATAATTCATTCACAATTATAAGTAAACTTATACTTTTGTCCAGTGAAAAGATTTTGATCATCGTAGTTTAATATTGACAAATATGGCGTACGGCATGAGAAGAAAAATTACGCTTTAGTTTGATTAAAATCAAGTTAAATTCAGTTCATTCAGCATTCAATATTGGATTTATGACTTTAGACAAATTACTTATGATTATATGTTTTATATGTAATATGAACACATAACGAATCGACTCAACATTCGTTAAGATGCGTAACAAATTGACTGGTAGCGAATTGACTTCGGAACGAATTGACTGGTATTTGGACAGTCCCCCAAAAGCAATGTATATGATAATAATGTGTAACGATATGTATGTGTTTCAGGAGGTCATCTGGTTGGATGAGTACTTTCATCATGTGGGGAGTCATAGCCTGTATTGGATATTACATCTACAYCYCTTTTTCAAGCAATGAAACGTATCCTTTCCAATAAAAKATCATCTCAACCAAAGGGTTATCTGAAAAATATAGTACATTTGTATATACATAGTCTAACAAAAGTCAGTTGTAGGTTCTACAGGTGCAATAAAAAAACTGAAAATAATTTCATAAAGTAATCYGTGATTAACTAAGGCATTTTAACTGTTGAAACTTGCTTTTCAATGGCTATACTGTAGTTGTAGTACTACTTCGGTTGCAAACTCTGAAACCAAGAGCGAAATATATATTATACTTGACTATTCGTGGTGTTACTGTACTGTGCTGTGACAATGATATATTTTTTAACTAGTGTTTTTATCTGGAATAACTAATAGGTAAGGTTCCATGCCGTGATCTGTACTGTTGCGCAGTCAAACAAAATATGCTTTAGTGCTCAATTTTCTTTACAAGGACATTCTTTGCAGACAAGTTTTAGATGAGATGAATTATCAAATATCTGTTCATCCTTTTCTATCTGCTGGTTTAAGATCGAATTTTAATATATCTCCATCTATAGTGCATAAAACAATAGAAAGAGTCTTTRYTTTTATTTCTTATTTRTATTTTCAAACAAYTAACCATGARAATGGCATAACCMTCGTGCATATCCTGGCTAGGAACSTGACACGATTTTAACCAGGATCTTGTCAGCATACWAAATAAGATCCTATTTAAGATCGTAAAGGGTCCTACAGGATCTTACAGGATCTCGTCTAGTATTTGCACCAGGGAAGGGATGCTGGTTGACCATTATMGACCTTTAAGTATTTAGAGAGTACATATTAATAATGATGCCAAGTTTTTCATTAACCAAAGAGAAGTACACCTAACAKCCAGCCAGGATATCAAGAGGCTTCWTCAGCTCCTCCACCTCCAGGTTTCAGACCAGAATATACTACCCAAGGTAATATTATAATGAAATGCTTGTTAGTATGCAGATACATGACCAGGATAGCTACTGAGGATAGATTGTTCTCTAGGTTATTTGGGTTCATATAATACTTTGTAGTTGAAATACATCTCGAAAAGTTTTTCCAATTTAAAAGATCATAATTATATATTGAATACTCTATTTAGGGCCTGGTTTGTCGATATTATAGAAACTATGTTGAAAAAATGTTTATAAATAATAATTATGTATAATGTGCTATAGTGATTCTCTTCTATTCCACTCATGTTTAAGTTTTAAACAGGTTTTTGTGACAAAATGAAGTACAAAATGGTGA